GCAGCAGCAGCTCCGCAGCAGCAGCATGGAGACCCCCTAAAAGAGCGAAAGGCGGGCAGGTTATTTAGCTTAAGCAGAGCAGTGGCTAATGCTGCTGCTGCTGTTGCTGCTGCTGCTGCTGCTGGGCTAGGAAGAAGAAGGAGAGAGGGAGCTTCCGACCTGCTGGAGGAACTTTGCTGCTGCTGTAATGGCCCCTCCAGCAGCAGCAGCAGCAGCAGCGGGGTCTTCGACCGCCGGTGTCGCTGCTCCTGCTGCTGCTGCGTCCCTCCTGAGAGCTGCTGCTGCTGCTGCTGCGTCCCTCCTGAGCGCTGCTGCTGCTGTTGCTGCTGCTGCACCTGCTGCAGCAGCAGCACGTGCTGCAGGCTCGAGACGCACAGCAGCTAAAGCAGCAGCAGCAGCATGAATCTCCACAGGGGACTGCAGCAGCTGGGGGCCCCCCACGAGAGCAGCAACACCTGCAGCAGCAAAACCAAAAGGACTTTCTCCATTTCTTTTCTGTTAAAGCTGCAGCAGCAAATTAAAAATAAATTGAATTAAAAGAAATTTAAAAGAGACACAAAACCCACCCTCACGCAGGTCTTGCAGGGTACGAAGAGGTACTAAAGTGGGTCCCCAATTTGTACCCTCTGGAGGGCCCCCTGGGGGGCCCCCTGGAGGTTCAGGGGGGCCCCCCGGGGCTTCTGGAGGCCCCTTGTCTGTCCACGGCAGGCGCAGCACGGGGGGCCCCCTTGCTGCTTCTAGGGCCCCCAGAGTTTCCTTTGCTGCTGCTGCAGCAGCAGCAGCAAGAGCTCGGCGGGGCCCCTGCTGCAGGGGGCCCCCCAACCCATCAGTACCCTCCAGGGGCCCCGCCATAGGGTACAGAGCATCTAGGTACACCCCAGACACTGTTAAAGGCCCCCTGGGGGGCCCCCCGGGGCCCCCGCTGCTGTCTTTGCCAGAGGGGGCCCCCTCTGCTGCTGCTGCTGGCAGCAGCGCTGCAGCAAGACCCTCTAATGCAGGAAGGGGGCCCCTGGGGAGGCCTTGAGGGGGGCCCCCGGCAGGGCCAGCTGCAGCGGGGGCCCCGGGGGCCCCTGTGCCTGGGGCCCCCCGCTGCTGCTTCGGGGGCCCCTGTGCTGC